CGTGTTGATGACGTATCTTCGCCATAAGCAGCAGGGTATGTGACCGCGTAATGATGCGTCTATCGCATTACCGAAAACAGCACACGCGCAACAACAATTTATAACAAAAACAATAAACGCGCGGCCAATCCTTCGCCTTGAAGATCAAAACTAGTATAATAACACATTGAAGGATAACTACTCCGTCACTGACGGGGGCGACTGCACAACCCAGCTGCACCGTCACTGCAGTACGTACGAGCGCCAAAAGCCTGATAATAACGTGGTGTACGTCTGCCAGGACCAACCGTGCGTCGTCAGGTAGTAGTAGTGTGTATGCGTCAACATCACACCTCCAAAACAACCTCGGCAATCCGTTCACCAAAATAGTTCGCCAACTTTTATTTAGCTGCACATATCATCGACTACGTATCCTACACTGGACAGTGTTACGCACCAGATGATCAGTGCTATTGAATGAGGCAGGAACGAGGGGTTTTTTATCCCCTGGGTTTACACGGCTCAGCCAGCTATGCATGTCTTTTTTTATGAACGCGTTCGTTCTCTTCAGCAACCCTGAGATATCATAGATATCGCTGATATACAATATCTGGGATTCATATCTTGTGGGGACGTACCGCTACATCGTGTCAACTCAGTCAACAAAACATTGTCCACCCGCCTCCTTCATCCCGCCGCTCCTCTCCCACCCTCTCACCTCCCACCTGGCAAACAATATCCATAATTTATGTATATATAATTATATATATATATATAATATTTATATATATATATAATACATATATATACTATAACATGTAGCAGGAAACGTAAGCTATTTACACGAACGTGGCAGAAGCAGCAAGGGAAGAGGAATGGGAGAGTCAGACACCACGGATTTTTGAGATGGGGTCAAATGATTTGAGGAAAAAAGGACGTGTTAAAACGGAAATTTATCTTCTCGCCTTAATATAGTTAAGGAAATGAAGTTATTATGAAACGAGAGTAAAAGAGGTAAAGACTGAAAAGTAGTGAACTCAGAGAACTAAATATATGCGAAGTAATTTGTTTTAAAAAGGATAGTGATCTAAATTATAGTAAAAGTATAGAAATAAGGGTGTACCAGATTTATACTGTGTAAAATTACACTAACAATTTTCAAATAAATACAAGGAAACCGAGAGGTAATTTCATTAGTCAAGGAACCATATGTTTAGTTAACAACATCTCATCTAGATTACTAAAAATTTAAGAGATATTATTTTTGAAGTATATCATCATCTGGTAACGTTTTAAAGTCATTTGTTCTCATAAGTGTCAAAATCAACTTAAAAAAAAGCAAAATTCAATTATGAGATGTACGAGACATTTTGAAGATAGTATCGATTCTTATGGCAAGTCAGATGTGAAGCGAGCTGGGCAGGGTCTTAACACCTCCTGTTGTCTCAGGGAATATTTGCACAACAGCGCGCGCACGGGTATTATTATTCCCGGAATACACGGATCGAAACAAATAACAACCATTGTAAAAATTCTACACCGCATTGGACACTTTCAATACACACACGGCATGCGCAGGCTATTCAACTTCACAACGCGCACACATAAACCATTTTAACTCGCACCACAATACCAATTTACACAACCAATACACGTACCCATAACAGTGGTTTCATACCAATAAATGTACACTCACGCCCACCAAACACGCATCATACAACATATCACACAGTGGGCATCAACACGCACCTGCACCAACACAATAATGTTATCTTCACCACGCAATCAACATACCATAACCACGTTACACCGCCACATTTTTACCCACCCTTTCGGAAGCATATGCACACTACACGTCACAACCAGACGCACGACACATACAAGATACATAACTCACTAGAATATTAGGTCCATTAAGCTCCCATAACGAACTGCAGCCGTAATCTCGTTGGGGTTTGTCTTCCCAATTTCGGTCTCTACAACTGCTGCGCGGCACGTGATTGCTGTTTTCAAATACACCCAGCATTTTATCCGCCTTTTGGTTTGGGTAGACCGCCGCTAAGCCGCAAATGTCTTTGGTGTGTGGTGTGCGCGCGTGGTCCGGTGTGCGTGCGTGCGTTCGTGCGGCGTTTAGTGTTGGCTTGCTATGGCTAGGTGAGAGGTCCAACCCTAATTAAATGCTATTATTATAGTCCTTTATTCCATTTAGTAAATAGCTACATTACTCATTTCAAACCGCCGTGAGAAAAACACGTTAATAGTTAACAACAATTTTCAAAAGGTAATGGAATATATAGTGTGGTATGGTGGTGCTCTACTTAACAATCGAAACGGGTCTATAATAATGTCAGCTGCACCATACCACATTTACACACAATCACATGGCGCTGCACAACACACACAACTTGAGGCGCACACGCACACGTCACCGCACACCACACGCACTAACGCCCACGCACACATACATACACAACAACACACACATCACACACAAACACACGACGCCAACGCAACGCACGACGCACTACGCCACGCCCACGCACACGCACACGCACACACATCACACACACACACACACACACACACACACAAACACACACTCAACACCCACCACACACAAGATCCACAACCGACACACACACCACACAGTCACAACACACACCCACACCCACACCATACCCAACTACATACACTACACTACCATACCACACCATCACACCTACTACATCTCCACCACTTGGTACACACGCGCGCACCCACCCGCCCCCCCCCCCCCCCCCCTCTTGCGGATCGCCGTGTCACGTTGCGGTAGCAGGTGATTCCATGATGTGATGGACTGCGCATTGCGATTTGGTCGATCTTCAAAATTGGTGCGGGTTTTCTGCGATGAGAGGCACGTCAAATCACAAGGTTGATCACGTACTTCTGCTTGGACTGCATCACATTGTCGATTTTGCGATCTTAAAAGTGGTGCGCGGTTTCCGCGATGAATGCCGAAAGTTTGTTCGGCACATAACTTTTTAAGAAAATGATGAAAAAGTCACTTTAACGTCGAAAAAAATCCTCTTCCTCGGCGTTCAACGTAGCGGAATCTAAGTCGCGACGCCCAGAAGGGGCCCAGCCTCGATTCGCGCGAGACACGTCGGCACGGTTTCGGAGTGAGATACGTAAAAACGACACTTCGGCCTCTTCCCTATATCATAGTAGAATATATATATTGTAATCTATATAATAAATAATAGAAACTGTATGCAAGTCGCCGCATCCCCGTTGCGGTTTCTCTTCGCAGGTAAAAATAACGTGACGGGACGAAATCGGTGGCGAAGCGTCTCGTCGGAGACTTCAACTTCTCCGCGAGCGCCGCCACCGTCGACTCCTCTCGCTGGAGACCCGCGGGGCGGCGAACGCAACACCAATCAGCTCAATGTCTCCCTTCGGGGCTCATCGATATCTCTTCGAGCTTGGGAAGCGAATTTCGAATTCGTCGTTCACCGCCGGAAGCGATCAACGCCCTCTAACGAGTCAATGAACGGCAGTCGGTCGGAGAGCGACCTCGTCGTCAACGAAGCCGACGAGAAGCAAGCCGACGACAAACAGCCCGCCGCCGCTGCCGCCGACGACAATGATAACGATGACAAGCGACGACCGAGAAGAAAGACATGGCACTTGTTCAACCGACACAAACGCTCTCAGTCGGACCTCTGCCGACCAGCCGACAAACCCTCCTGGAGCGACGACAAGAAGGAAACGCCGACGGGAGCGACGACGAAGAAGGGGAAGATGCCGGCTCTCTTTAGACAGTTCAGCGCCAGCCTGCCCGGCAGCAGCTCGGATTTGGTCGGCATGAATAAGTGCCGCACGAGGAAGAGAAGCGAGACGGGATTCTCTAACGCACCCTGCGTACGCTCGTTGGTATTAGATGGTCACAAGAAGTCGCTGCCACGTCACGCAAGCACGCAGACGAGCATAGGTGAAGATAACCCTGCGACAGTCTAGCGTGCTAACGATCACCCTCCTGCTTAATTAGTAGCAATGAAAGAACAGTAGACGATACAAAAAATATTAAATATTTATAATTAAAAATTAATTTAATTATTTTAAATTATTAAAAATAATTATTCGTTTTTAAGAGATCACAGCAATGATATTTCGAATGTCTTGCAGGAATATTATTGTAAAATATGATTAGCAATATCCCTCACTCATCGGTACGAGATAGAATAGGCCTACTTATTAACAGATTTCACTTACAGATGACATGCCAGAAACCGAGACGAAACATCTACTAGAGAAAATCCAAGGTACGAACCATGCAACGGCCACGTGTAATGTTATGCAACTTGCCAATTCAAACACGCCCAAATAAAATTCGCAATTTGTAATTGCTTTTCACGGGTTAGCTGTCTCTTTTCCCAAAGG